GTATGTTATATATGTTTTAAGTATTTCATAAAAAAAAGTAAAAGTAGGAGTAAATTTGTATTAACGTACCCTGTTCGCAGAGGCAAATGGATATTGTTCAACTTGAACGGACCTCAATTTAGTATTATTCAGAGTATCCGGCTTATCTTTAGTGATATCTTTCTGTAAATCCTGTCCAAAAAAACAAAAAATCGATTGATATATATCGATCCATTGATATCAATCAATAATAAGATGTTACAAAAAATAAGATATCATGAGAAATGATAATTTACCTTTAAATTATCATGGAAAACGATACCAAAACGATCTTTGCATTCGTCATAGGTTTCTGGCATATAATTATATTCTGTCGAATCGTTTTCATCATCCTTATCGGGTGTATGTTGCTCTTCTTTTAAGAAATCCACCGTCTCAATAAAAGAATTTAACTACAAGTCATAAAGATACATATAACAAGCTTATATACAAATGTCTAATTACATAGCGATGTAAGAAGATTCGATTTCTTACCTGTCTTTTCTTGGGCAATAATTTTTCCTTTTTCAATATATGATGAGGAAAAATAGTCATTACCTCTCCAGCTAAAGTGCCATGTGCAATACTGTTAGCATAATCGGAAATAGCGATACCCTAAAAAATTGAATGTCATTTAGAAGACTATACAATTACTTATTGTCTGAAAGAGGCAACTAGGCGATAATATTCTTACATAAGTCGTCGAATTAGTTGCTAAAATTGGACAATATCTATATCCGAGGTCTCTTGTTGGTATTATGCAAGTATGCGTACATTGATATCTGAAAGAATAATCACATCAAAAATGTGATTGTTATTAATTATTATCACTTTTAGATACGACAAAAATTTTACCCATGTGCATCATCGAAGGTAACAACTGCACACGGCCAATTTGTCATCCAAGCGCCATTTACTACTATGCCTTTTTTTATCCAGCTCTGTGGTACACCTGAACCTTCGAGCAGGTCCCAAAATTTATATCCATCCATGCTGCCAGAAGCAAGAAATTGATGGTTCGCGTATGGTATAAATGCCAGCACTGTATAAAGAAACAAGAAAATATGGTTTTACCTTAAAATTTCTGTATTTTTATATGATATCCATGATATGATGATCTATGATAGGATAAAGTGAGCGCGAGGATGATATAGCAGACAGCGCACTGGTCTACTATATCAAAGGTCCCGAATTCGCATCTCGACAAAACCAAGAATGTTTTTATATGTTCGTTTCCTCTTCGGCAATCTGATAAATTACCAAGAGTATCTTCGCTACGGAAACATCTCTCTCAACCGTTCGGATTCGGTGTTTAAATTGTAGGTATCGTATACTTGTGTACAATCCGAGTACATACCACAGGTATACGCAAGCGAAAGAGATGGACTTTGGGCCCGACTTGGGTTGTCATTGATGACGACAATAATGATGATTTATGGATGAAATAAATATTACTTACTGGTAACTGCATTATAATGCGCAAAGAAATCTTGGCACGCGTTTATAACCTTCGTATTTCCCCGTGTCTTAAGTAACAGAGGCGAGACAGTGGGAAGATGCCATATTGCGACATGACCGTTCGTAAGACCTGCCGCAAGAAATCTAAAAAAATATTTACATTAATTCTACAAACATTACAGTAATTCTACAATGTGCTCTTACATTAATTCTACAATGTGCATGAAACTTATGAAATAAAAATTAGATTGTGGATATTACTCATGCTTATGCTCCTTCGTCCATGATATCTTGGAGCACTGCCAGTTTTGTGCATTATTGTCATACAAAGGAATGTTGACGACCAGTGTCATTATTGGATCAGTTTTATAAACAGGCCATCTTTTGATGAAAATTATATAAAAATTTTTTGAATTACGCATAAAAAAAAAATTAACGCACAATCAAAATTATAATATGACTCACGAGGTAGATTCGATTTTTTCGAATTTAAGTTCGTCTGGAAACGGTAGCGAATAAATATATACACATCCATCCGAACATGCTGCCGCAAGTAATCCCATTCGCTTAAGTTTATTATCTTCTATTTTATAATTGTCAAGATCAATGTCTTGATAGCATCCTGATGGACACCATTCAAAACACCATACTGTACCATAATTATGCACAATCGCGTAAGCCAAAGTGGGCGATCTATATTCGTTATTATCACTGAAAACAATATACATTTCAATATTATAAATTACAGTAAATGTAATGCAATAAAATTACAGCAGTTTCTTAACTTTGTTTCAATAATTAAAATTCTAATTAAAGTTAATTGAACTTAATTTATTGTACATATGTTTGCGCAAACTTACTCATGGTTTAAAGATCCAACATCCCATATTTGTATAATGTTTGGTTTTGTATATGAATATCCTATGCTATATGAACTTTCCATTGTGGGATGCGTGCTAATTGCGATATATTGCGTTGGATTTTTCTTATACATCGGTGATGGAATAGGTAACCATGCTAATGCCCATACAGGACCACCGACAAAAAATGTTGGTACATCTGAAAAAACATTATTAGTCAGATTTAAGTATTTGAAGAGACCTTTGCGCTAAATATATTTTAATATATCATAATTTGTATAGCGTAATTTCATAAAATACCTTCATAAATATCGCCCTCAAATCTGTTCATGTGTTTCCAACCATCATTATCAGAACTTTCCGATGAATTCTTGTTTTTTGTACATTTGAAGGACATCGAAACTGTTAATTCTGGGAAATATTTTGCAGCATCGTTATTTTCCAATAATGTAAAACAATTTGGTGCATCGTCAGTGAATAATGCAAGTTCATAATGTCTTAGCTCGCTGTAATCAAATTATGAATAAAATATTTTAAATATCAACATTATTAATTTGTGTGTAATTATGTATATAATTATTGAAACAGAAAATAGATTAAATTATATAGTAAATTTAAAATCATATTTTAATTTTATTAATATTGTAGCATGTACATTAGTAAATTAATTATACATACAAATTTAAAGTCCAATCAATAGCTGGTTCAAAAGCTTTGTTTGATTGTGGCCTTGGCTTGATTGTCTCTGGGCAAATGGCTTCTAAGATTTTGTTGACTGCTAAAATTTTTTACAAAAATATTATATTAGTAAAATAATAATATACTATATTAGTATACTATAGTAATATACTATACGACTAGTATACTATAGCATACTAGTTAGTATACTATATTATAGTATACTATAGTATACTAATATAGTATTTCATATCTTAAGCGCGCGCGCGCGTGCCAAAAAAATATCTGAAAAAATATTTGTATGTGTCTGTGTGTAATAATTGTTATACTGTTTATTATATCACATAATAATTTATACTATTTTGTTATAGTATAGTTCAGCGTACCTGTATTATCAGAATTAGTTTTCGATAAACGACGACTACTAAACTTTCGTTTCACGTTACATTCAAAAATACTTTCGTCTGACGAATATTCATCTTCTTCTACCTCATAATCAGAATGTTTCTCAAACTCCTCGACAAGATGAACTTCTGTTATATGAGCTGCAATCTTATCTTTAGAATCCGCAGAAAACTTGCAAATTTTACACAGAAAATTCTAAAAAAAGAAGAAAGAAATATTTAAAACATTAATCATTTTTAAAAATATAAACTATAAAATCATAAATAAAAAATAATTTATATAGATTCAATAGATTAAAATTAATAGGATATATTAAAAGATTTAAGAGCTGGATCATTAAGCTAAATGTTAAACCAAAAACATAAATATATATAACAACTAGATAGATTATTTGTTTTTGACTATTTATCATATTAAAAATGAACCTAATCAATAATAAATAGTCAAAAAACATTAAAAGAATTCAAGACGGGATATTTCAATCATTGCTGGATCTTGATGTCTAGTAATTTTTATCTTTCTTTATATATATTTATAAAATTTAATAAGCCTTGTTTCTATCACATATCAATTACGTGCCATTACTAACAAACTTGCAATATAGTTAGCTATAATATACAGTATAATATACAGTATATACATATAAGTTAAAGCTAGAATTATGTATTTTTCATGATCTCTCGAACTTAATAATATCGATTAAATTCTCTCTCTCCCTTTTGTACATATCTTATTATGAAAATCATCTTAATCAGAATTCGAATTTGAGCTTTTTTATTTTCTTCTTTGACCAAATAAGCTTGTCATATATATTACTCATGTTAAAACATTTTGTCAATCTATAAATTATTTATATAACAAAATTATAAAATATTATAAAATACAATATACCTCTTGTGGAGTAAAATCACATTGATAATAATGCTCGCAAATAATTTCATAAGAGGTGCTCGTGAAATTACATCCTGCTTGCTTGCAAGATGCAGTACCCTGTGAATCTATTTCTTTTTTCCATTTGACTTTCCAAACATTTGGAATTTTTCTGTTAAGATTGAACCTTTGTACGATATTGTTCTAAACATATAATCATTGTATTAATATATATATTATAATAAGTTTTTATAATAAATATAACAAATTTTAATATATAAATATAAAAAATAAGAATTTATATTTTTTACCGTGCATAGATTTGGCTCTTTTAAAGATTTAGAAAGTTGCTGTATCTTTGGCACCGCTCTGTAATTATAAAATAAATAAATATACATATACACAGGTGTTCCAAAATTACTAGATGACCTTTCACTCTGACAAATTCTATGAAACAGTTAAGATGAAAATATATCATGTTTGAATGCGCAAAGTTTTCAAGAATTTATTAGTCAACTTTAAATGCTTCTCTTAAATGATTCTTTAAAAATTATTACAACTTCGACATTTTTATATAAAAGTTTTCATCTTATAATATTGCACAGAATTTGTTAAAAAGATATCTGCTAATTTTAATGTAATTTTAATGTATAAATAACTGTATCAACAAATATAATTTAAGTAACTTGTAAATAAGATTTTATACTTGCCTCTCTGCTGCTTTCCGTTTAGTTTTTTCAATATCCATATTTACTTCTTTATCTTTATTCTGTTCTGATTGCCTGTGGAAACGTTCATGTACATCTACAGAGGAAGGCATCATAACTGCTTGACAAATGGGACATGTCACCATTAATGATTTTCTTTCCTATAAATATAAATATAAATATAAATAAATAAATATAAATAAATAAAAATTTGTGGCGATATGTATCTATATAATATATATTATGTAGCAAATTTTATTGCTTCTTACTTCTTCTGATTTTCCACAAAATTGCATATGCGATATAAAACCAACGACACTTCGTTTCATAGTACCACATTCTTCACAAGTTAGATATTTCTTTTTCTTTTTAAGAGCAGCAGTCAATATTCTCTTTAACAATTTTTCGTCATTTTCAAAGTCCTATAAGCAAACGCAAATTTATTGTTTATATAAACTTTTATGCACTGCAAAAATCTATAATGCTATTGAATTTATATATTATTGAAAGTGACAGGAGTAAAAAAGCTATAAGTCGGAGACTCTTGCTGAGATGTGTATTTATTTAAAATTATTTTTTATCAGACATTTCGATTTTAGGTCATCTTCAGTGATCTGTGAATACATACAAACATCAAACAGAACAATGACATGTGCAAAAATAATTTTATAAGCAGTATGATAATACTGCATATATGATAATACTGAGATCTTATTTAAAGAAAAATTAGAATTTATCAAAGTACATTAAACAAAGAACAATGTATTGAGATGTTTTTTTATGACCAAAAAAATAGAATCTTTAGCGTTATTATCGAACCAGTTGTAAAAATATATAATAAGTATTGCATTGCTGTCGAGTTGGAATCAAGTTAAAATATCTGATCAAAAATAATTTTAAACAAATACACATCTCAGCAAGAAGCTCTGGCTTATGACTTTTTTGCTCTTGTCACTTTCAATTTATTTTGAAGAAGTTTGGATATCGCCTCAACAAATTTATATATTATTACCAATGCTTCTTTATCTTTTTGCCAAGCCATGTCATTATGCTGATGTAAATTATGCGAAGACCATTGTTTTTTCGGTAATTCTTGGTTGCATTTAGCGCAAGTTACCAATTTTATCTATAAATAAAGCATTTTATATGAATTCTTCATGTTATAATTGCGATGTCATAATAGCGTAAGTTTTAAAATATGATACAACTTACTTTTTCAATACAACTAGCTTTTTCAATATTCGGAGTTTCTTCAATATTTGAATATACAGCAGCGTTTTCGATATTTTCAACATGATCTGTCGCATTTGTGTCATTTAAGTTTATTTCATTATCCTTCTTTGTTTGCAATTGAGAAATGTTTTTTATTGTTGATCTTGGAATGTAGTCTGTATCTAAAGAATTTTGTGATGTCCCTCGACCACGTCCTCGTCCTCGACCACGACCACGACCACGACCACGACCACGACCACGACCACGACCACGACCACATCCTCGACCTCTACCTCTGCCTCTAGAACCAGGTGGTCGACCTCGTTTCCTGATAAAAACTTGATCTTCCACAGAATCACTTTCATCGCTTAAATCACTTATACTGGTGGTAATCTTAAATGCATTAGTACGCCTTCTATTACGTGTCACATATTCGTTAATGTTCTCGGGAATCTCTTGTGATATATCATCGTTTCTTAATTTTTTTGATTGACTTTCATCTGTGGAAACATTTATTACTTTTCTAGGTCTACCTCTTTTTCTCTTCTCCTTTGGTGCTACAAGTAACTGATTTTGTTCATCATTCATATTTATTTTACTTGCTATAGATGAATCTTGACATATTGTGTTGTTCATTGATTGCATCTCTTCTGTGAACGATTCTACCAAACTTGGCGATTTATTTTCAATTGTAACTAATTTCGATTTCTCCTCGCTATTATCTCCGACATTCGAATGAGAAGGCAGTGATCTCGTTAGTTTAGCTGGTAGTGCAGCTACTTCAATTTTGATTTCCATTCCCGAATCAGTTTCTTGATCTTCTGCTACAGTTCTTTCATTTGATGAAATACAATGCTGCTCGCTTATAATTTCATTTTGATTCTGCACTTCTGTCGGCAAGGTGTTATTAGTTAATCCTTGAGAAAAATTATTTGCTACAATGTGATCATTAATTTTTCCCTGCCGACAATCCCTTCTATTTTCATCAGGTACATTTTCGTTAATAATTAAATATACATTATCTATTTCCGGATTATGTAACACACCATTGTTTCTTTCTTCAAATGTTGTCAAACCATTTGTGTTGTTTGTTTCCACAGACGATGTTCCTGTTCTATTGCATTTATTAGCAAAGGATAAATATTTCTTTCGAGAATATGTCATTGACCTACAATCAGAATCATTCACTTTTCTAGTATTAGTTTCGTCTTCTTCTGCATTAACAATACTACTTGCATTGCTATTGAGACATTCGGATGTTAATTCAGGTATACATGTTGTGTTCTGTGAAGGAATTAATCTACAAAATTTAAGTATATTACTCTTGTTTGTATCTGTTGTACATTTTGCTGCGCTATCTTCATTTATAATTATCTCTTGTTCTGCATTGTTAGATTTATTAATGCTGTTGAAATCTCTTAAATTATTTTGAGGACAATGTAATATATTTCCGCTTGAATAATTGTCATGGTTTAAAATAACAGATGTAGGTTCACATTGATTATTATTTGTAATTAGGATATTATTAGAACACTGACTGCCCTGTACATCATTGTATCTCCTCTCTGTATCCAATGATATATTGCTTTGGTATGAAGTAGAAGTAGTAGCTTGAATTAAAAAGTTATAAATATTATTAGTACTGTTTCAAAAATAAAGTTTCACAAAATAGTAAGAATAATTAGCTTACCACCAACTGCATCGGTATTGTTAAGAAGAGCATTTTGCATATCAATATCACGAGAGAACATCTTCGTACAATTCCCAGATGTTCCATCATAATACCTAGTTGGATGTTCACTCTTTTTGAATGACATTTCGGAGGAGTTTACCCTTTTTTTGAAAATAAAATAAGATTTAATCAATCATAGAGAATAAATCTTTATGTCTAAATCAGATGGTTGATTGGGAGGTACAATATTAATTACTTAACACAATTATCATTTTAATATTTAACAAACTTGTGGGCTAATATATTGCGATATATCCCAATAACAAAAAATACGAAGAAAGAGAAAAGAAAAAAAAAGGGAACCACGGGGATTCGAACGTGGTACTCATGGCATCGAAGTACAACCTTCTAGTTACAACTCCAAAAGAGTACTTTCGTGATCCGGGTAACGCGAAGACATTTACTACTTACTCGCGAGAGAATTCGCGATCACAATTCTACGAGAAAGTTTCACAGAATTTTCGTAGGTTCACTAGTACAGGTAACACAGAAAAATTTCTTCGTTAGAGACTTACAACGTGCGCGGATAACGTGAGTAGGTTATAAGCGTCGTGCGATCACGTGTGATCAATTTTAATTAATTTTAATTAACATTAATATTAACATTCGCATACTTACTGTACCTTACGATAGATAAAATAATAAAGTGATAAAATAATAATTTTTTATTATTTTTTTTTTTTTATACTACGTCACGAGCATGCGGATCGCATGCACATTTTAAGCTGCATGCACAAATGTATGTATTCATCGCCTACATTGTGAGGGCGCAGACTATCGATTGCCGCGTCCCTGTTGCAATTTGCCAAGGGAATTGTACACTTTTTACAAATCGGCATGCATCCAAACTAGTGGTTTTTAATGCAAAATGCAAAAGTATTCGCCATGCAACGAAAACTACACGTTATGTCCATTTATACCAAATATAAATTAATTTATCAATGTAGATTTTATAGAAAAGTGATGAGTTGATTGGCTACACGTTGTTTCTTGACATGCAGCAAGCGTCGTCCTGTATGCAAGAACCTTAATCACATCGATTAAAAATCCTTTTTATATAAATTTTAATTTACTTTTTGTTTTGATGTACTAATGTAAAGGTTTTATTATAAATAAAAACTGAACGAGAAAGTCGTTTAAAATTGACTAATTTATTTACGGAAAATTCTCGCATTCAAATGTCACTTCACATAGTGAAGATGCTCTTACATATTAATTCATCGCATCTATTCCTGCTTATGATATATTTTATTTGATAATATTAATTGGATTTGACTAAGGGCCTGCACACAATAGAGCAAATATTAGGAACAAGAATAAATATTAAATTTTGGAAATTAAAATTCGAAATAAAAATTAAATGTAACGCACAATAAGTAGAAATAAGTCTTATACTTATTTGTATTCATTGTGCGTTAAATTTAATTTTTATTTCTAAAATTTAATATTTATTCCTATTTCTAATATTTTCTCTATTGAGCGCAGGACCTTACACTCTACATCTATATTGTTATTAATCTTTATATATATTAAAAAATCACGAATGAATAAGACAGTTTCAAAATAATTTTATCATTATATGCAGAATTATATCAATATTTAAAAATTAAATCGGTATATAAGAACATTTTCACTTTTACAATGCACTATACCTGAACATGAGAATTTTTCGCAAATCAATTGATTAACTTTAAACGTTTTTAATTTAAAAATTATCATGATTTCAATATTTTCGTTCAAATTTTTGTCTTAAAATATTCTATACAATTTCTCCTGATTGAATTTGGGAAAATTATACACTTTATATACATATAAATTTGCATTTAAATGCAAAATATTTAGTACAAAAATGTCTTTCAATATTCTTACAGTTTTATGATGCTATTTTGCAATTGCATTTCCCTGAATGTCATAGTTTTACAATATTTTGCTCTTTGTTCTATTAAAAATATGTAAATCATTTATGATATATTAACCAAATGCTTGTGAACAATGATTTAAGGAACACTGTTTTAATTAGAGGATTTTATTTATGAAGATTTTTATAAACTTATATCATCCTTCTGAGAAGCTCATTGATTTTATCTTCTCTATTTCCAAAGTCGCCACCTTCTACATAATGGTTAGTCTTCTTGCGCCATCCACCATTTGGCGTGTTAAGCTACAAATACATAAAGAAATTATTTTTAATATGAATATACAGCGTTTTAAAGGAAACAAGTCATTAAAGCAATAACGTAATGTAAAATATTTTAAAAACAATATTTTATAAACAAAAATGTTTGAGTTTATCTTAGATTTGTGATTAAGACATCATTCACCAACAAGAAAAACTCGTATTGCTTTTCGACATAATGAGAGGTAACAGATTTAAATTAATCTATAACCATGCCTATGTCGAAATACAAAGTATTGATATATACATAATGATTCTTTGATATCTCGAAGAACAAACCTTGAAGGGCCACAGGAAGTTGCTGGCGTATTTGAACTGTGGACCAACAGTGAATATCTCATGGATTAAATCTTCAGTACAGATGATATTAGATCGACCTAAATGCAAAATAAAATTTTTTTAGATAGATAAATTTTAGATAAATTTTTTTAGATTGTTCACTAATTATATATACAATTTAAGGGATAACTATATATAGCAACATACATTAGTATTATACATGTATTAGTTTTTGTATCAATTATTTTATCATACTTGACTAATATAGCCAAGCATTAAAAAAATTGCTTAATTAATTTTTGACAAACTGGAAGGGAGAATATGTATATCCCAAAAACTCCCATGGAATTGTCAAGAATGATTTGTTACATACATGACACATACTAATCATGTCTCAGAACTTTACCAATAATCAATAATTGTTAATTCATACAATTAAAAATTTAAAAAATTAAAAAAAAAACAGCTTTACTAACCAAGCTTCTTCTCGATGATGGAATTGCTAGTGATCGGTATACGTTGCCTGTTTATCTTGGCAAATCCACGTTTGTAAATCAACTCACGAACTGATTTCAAATTAGGATATCCCCACGTAATGTAAGGTTCAACGATACGTAACATATTAATCGTTGCTTTGTTCAATTTTACAAAAACACCATTGTTGATCTGTTTCAAACGGAACAGTTGTAATACCTTCCGTACTTTTGGTGCAACTTGGTTCACACTATAATAATGATATTGCAATGTCAATTAAATTAACTCAATTTGAAGTCTTAGAAAAAATCAAGTATAATTTAAATTATAAGCAACATATCCATACTTACCCTCGAATACGGATAACAAATGCAAGACGCGCCTCACCAGGAATATAATAATTTCCACGGTTTTTAGCTTGTCGCATCAATCGGATTTCATCCCTCTCCTTTCTTCTGTATTCCTTTACATAGTTCTCAGCTCTTTTAAAAATCTGTTTTCTCTTCTTGTAACGATCTGCCCGTTGCTGCAAAACAATTAATAATAAAATAAAAATCAATTTATCAATGTCTCTATTCAAGTATAAAATTAAAAAAATAACAAACTGCCAAATTATTAACGCAAACATTACCTTGATGGAAATTTGCAAACGTGCAGCTTTAACTGCCTCACGGCGTTTTCTCCTCTTCAATACAGACTCCGGCACCGCCGGCAATTTTTTAGTTGAGGGAACAGTTTCTTTTTTCCTGTATCGAGAAATATGATCATGTTTGATTGTGTCATCATCTTGGACGTACATGTTTCATAAGATATATAAATTTCCATCAAAAATAGGTTATGATTGAATAACGATAAGTTATGTTGATTGAAAAACGGTATTCTTTTTTAATTTTCGTGCATTATACAAGTATTTAATTAGTAGAATCAGTTTGTAATCAATGGTAAACAAATTTATTTTCATAATATAGTGATGTTATTATGCTTTTATGCTTCATAAGAAACAACGGTGTACCCGCGTCTTTCATGTTAACAATCTCTCTTGCCTAATTGCTTAAAATAAAAATATGAGTCCACCAATACACATGTATTGTAAAAGATTGTTAATACAATGTTTCTACATTTCCAAGATCATATTGCCGGTTGATGCGATCGGATTTTATAAGACATCGAAGTTACTTACGCGTCCGCCATTCTTCCACGCGTTAAAGGAATCCTTAACCTCTTTCGGCTTTACAGCAGAAGAATTAGTACCTGCGTATACGAGATGCGCGACAATATGGTGTACTCAACATGTCAACCAATTACCGTGCTGTTCTGATAGAAAAACAAATCATTTATTGGCTACCATGTAATCACATGTCATAAAGTACATCCAGAAGAGAGGGATATGATAGCACTACGCTGATTGGTCAATTAAATATAACATTTTCTGATTAGTGATCCATTGGAAAATTCCTAGGCTTCAGCTGATGTGAATGGATGTATGCCACAGTATAAGTAGATATAGTAGGTTAATATCCGTGAAATGATTGTCACTCGCGCATGAACAAAATGCACAATAATATGGCGATTCAAAGAAATTGTACATATCATAACCACAGTACTGTGGTAAAATTTGTCAAAGGTCAACACAATAATTTACTTCCGAGCAGCGCTCGGAATTAGTTGAACATTTCGGTCCGATTTCCGAAGGCGACGCCGAAGTTCCCCTACCATCGTTCGAGTCTCAGCGGCTGAGCGTCAAACGGCTGTGCCTTAGTGTCGGTCACAATAGGTGATTTAAGCTTTAAGAAGTAAGAAATTGACCAATTATAATCGAATATGAAAAAAATACTCGACTACAATTGGTCAATTTCTTACGGCTTAAAGATTAAATATTTATTGTGGACCGACACTTAGGAGCGTCGAGTTCGAGCGTCGAGAGTTCTCTGTGAGAAACATTGGCTGCGGAAAAAGCAGAGAAAGCAGATCAGTGAGCGCTCAGTGATTTTTCAATATGATTGGTCCTTGCCTTTAGATCTTCGATGAATGTAAGTGTAGAAACGTACGCCTCAAATTCACTTAAATATCTTCCTTGCTAA